AGGTCTTTTTAATGTAATATATATATATATATATATATATATATATATATATATATATATATATGTGTGTGTGTGTGTGTGTGTGTGTGTGTGTGTGTGTGTAGAATGGACTCTTCCGCCGTTTTCAACGTATAGAGAGTCAAACAGCTCAGTTCTTAGAACCAATATCCAGACTACCATTATAGGGTATCATTTGATTATAGGGTGAAGGCTAATGCAGAACCAACCCCACTTTTGGTAGTGACGAATACAGATACAGAAAACTGATGTAAAGCAGGCCACAACATCCCCAAACGACTCTCCGCAGGTTTTTGAATTTGAGTTATCCAAGGCTATAGGACCCACTCCGTTCTGCTATTAACCCATAGCTGAGTGTGGGAGAGTCTAGAAGAGATGGAGTCATATCTTTCACTAGTGAATGTAATGAACTCGACTGGAATTCGAACTCATGCCTCAATTTCATCAGCTATAATTACTCCACCGTGCCTCCATATACCCCACTGTCCCCCCATGTATATATATATATATATATATATATATATATATATATATATAGTTTTAAAAACTAGGAAACCATTGATTTTAATATTAAAAGTCTCTAGAGCCCTTTCAGCCAACATCTCATCAGGAGACAATCGTTGGATTAGCGAAATGAATAATAGCGATATTGAAGAGCAAAAAGAGGGGAAACACACTAAAATAACGAACAAGTATATATACTACTTAACGAGGAAGGTTATCGTGTAAATAAATAGCGAGGGACAGTTAAAATAAAATATCCCCCAACAGATTCAGAGACCTTATAAATTCTTTTCTGCCGGCAGAGAGAAGATTTTTCTAAATCCTATACAGACCGATTCCAAAATCTTCAAATGATTATTGGAATCGGCTGTATGAATAATTCTAAACCACTCTTTTTATACAACTTGGCACAAGCTATATTCTCAACTAAATGTTGAGCAATAGCCGATTCCATATTCATGGGGGAAGATAGCATATTCTATCTATCTTACCAAGTCGTATTTTGGAAGGAACGTGCTGATTAATTCTAGTTTCCAAATGCAAGGTTGTACGCCCCACATAACCAGCAGCACACTGGCAATTAAATTCATATACTAAATTACTCAATTTGATGTAGGGCAATACATCCTTGCGAAAAGACGGAAACGCAGACCTAGTTTGAAAAATGCTACGTAAAGCAACTGATGGGAAACAACCGGAAACCGACTTGCTAACCTGCTTAATTAAGCCCTAGTTTGACAATTGAGCGGGCGTTTATTCAAGATGAGATTAATAAGTCGCTGAAGCAACTTGAGTTTTATATTAACTTCAGACATGGTTGTCTATTTAAAGTTAAAAGTTTTTTGTCCTTCTTTGACTTTTTTCGTTTCTGTAAATATTTGGCTAATGGTGATGCATTTGCCAAACAACGTGTTAACACGAAATTTGAAAAACAGCTTACCTTGCTTATTCGCTCCAGATATGGTTGTGACTCTGGTACTGAAGGTAAGCATATTTTCAATTACTCAAGTTTTCACCTTTCAAAGAGTGAAAGTGCAGTCTTGTCGAGGGGCTTGCAATTTTGTATTCCTCCGATTAAGATTGATAAAGAGGAGACACTGGCAGCATTTGAGGTGTTGTTCTCCCAACTTAAACACCATGTTCCTTGTTCATCGGATCACGTTATTACATTGAAGTCAAGGTTGAAAGACTTGGCTTATCGTTATTGTAATTCTTCTATTGACTCTTTTGATTTTGTCTGGTCAAAAACTCAATTTAAGTTTGTTAAATTATTGAAATCTAATAATGATATTTATATTTGTAAACCGGACAAGGGTGCTGGGGTTGTTCTACTGGACCGGGTAGATTACATCCAAAAGATGTTGATTATTTTGAATGATTCAGAAAAGTTCAAAAAAATTGGTCCAGTTGAAACTTGTGACAACACGTACAGAAATGAAATTAAAATTCAGAAACGTCTATTATACTTGTTTAGAAAAGGTTACTTTTCTAAAGAGACTTATGACAGGATTAGACCTTCTGGTTCCCTTAGACCAAGGCTTTATGGTCTTCCAAAAGTTCATAAGAAGGACGTTCCATTGAGACCAATACTTTCAATGATTGGTTCATCCCAACATTCTCTGGCTCAATGGCTTCTGCAGGTCATACAACCGGTCCAAACATTTTTTGCTAAGCATTGTATACCTGATTCATTCACGTTTGTTGAACGCCTACAGGCCATACAGTCTTGCCCTGATACTGATTTTATGTGTTCCTTTGATGTGTCCAGTCTATATACTAACGTACCATTGAGGGAAACTATTGATATCTGTGCAGACTTTTTATACGAAGGTAACATTGCTCCACCTCCTTTTCCTAAGGATATATTTATAGAACTTATGATACTATGGACTAGTTCGGTGGAGTTCAGTTTTGACAATATTATGTATAGTCAAGTGGATGGGGTCCAGATGGGCAGTCCCCTTGGCCCTGCATTGGCTGATATTTTTGTGGGCTACCATGAAATGTTACTTTTCGGCAAAGTGTCTAAACCATTTGTTTACGTTAGATATGTAGATGACACCTTTGCAACATTCTCTAATAAAAGTGAGGCTGTTGAGTTCTTTAATGAGCTCAACTCCTTACACAATGGTTTGTCTTTCACTATGGAATGGGAGAAAGACAACTGTCTGCCTTTTTTGGACGTTTTTGTTGAACGCAGTAGAGGTGGTTTTATTACTAGCATCTATCGTAAACCCACCTTTACTGGACTTTATTTGAATTGGCGTTCATTTGCTCCTGCATCAAGGAAAAATTAATCTCGTTAAAACCTTGGTGTATAGAGCGCTTAAAGTGTGTTCCCTATTAGATTGGACCGTGAATTTGGGAACATTAGGGAGATTTTCTTAGTAACGGCTATCCGGAGGCCCTGATTGACTATATTATTAGTAAGAAAACTATGAATTTCATTCCCCTAAAATCCAGGGGCCTTCTAAATGTCCGGTTTATTTGAAGATTCCCTGGATTGGGGATAGTGGTCAGGGCTTAATTAAGCAGGTTAGCAAGTCGGTTTCCGGTTGTTTCCCATCAGTTGCTTTACGTAGCATTTTTCAAACTAGGTCTGCGTTTCCGTCTTTTCGCAAGGATGTATTGCCCTACATCAAATTGAGTAATTTAGTATATGAATTTAATTGCCAGTGTGCTGCTGGTTATGTGGGGCGTACAACCTTGCATTTGGAAACTAGAATTAATCAGCACGTTCCTTCCAAAAATACGACTTGGTAAGATAGATAGAATATGCTATCTTCCCCCATGAATATGGAATCGGCTATTGCTCAACATTTAGTTGAGAATATAGCTTGTGCCAAGTTGTATAAAAAGAGTGGTTTAGAATTATTCATACAGCCGATTCCAATAATCATTTGAAGATTTTGGAATCGGTCTGTATAGGATTTAGAAAACCTTCTCTGCCGGCAGAAAGAATTTATAAGGTCTCTGAATCTGTTGGGGATATTTTATTTTAACTGTCCTCGCTATTTATTTACACGATAACCCTTCCTCGTTACAAGTATATATACTTGTTCGTTATTTTAGTGTGTTTCCCCCCTCTTTTTGCTCTTCAATATCGCTATTATTCATTTCGCTAATCCAACGATTGTCTCCTGATGAGATGTTGGCTGAAAGGGCTCTAGAGACTTTTAATATTAAAATCAATGGTTTCCTAGTTTTTTAAAACTATTTATAAATTTTGTACCTCCAAACATTTGTTTATATATATATATATATATATATATATATATATATATATATATATATTTAAGTTTATTAAGTTTGAGTTATGCTATATTTATGAGATAAAGTGCTCAATAACGTTTCTCTTAGATATCTTTTTAACATTGCTATGACACCGTAAGTCAATAAGAGGAAGAGGTGTGGAAAAAAAATTCCTACACTTTTTAGATAATCTCTGATCTCAGATCCATTCAACAACGGAATATGTAGCAATCACCAACTTCTCTTTCAGGCATAATCTACAGCTGCTGCCATTTGTCCTGTCAGATGAAAATATTATACTGCACAACTGGACTTCTGCTATGTTGTTCTTTAAACCTCCAAACTTAGCAAACCAGATTTGTAACTATAACTACGGTTCTGCATCAGACATTAGTTTTGTCTGATGATCGCAAAAGCGTGAAATCCAGGGTTACAAACACATATCCATACAAGTGAATATGTTAGCTCTATCACTGATATTGACTGCTTTCCAATAACTACCGCGCATATATAATATATATATACATATAGAAATTATATGTGTGTGTGTATGTGTATACACAACCCCTCCCCACTACACACACACGCGCGCGCACACACACACACACACACACACACACACACACACACATATATATATATATATATATATATATAAGCTAAGTTTATAAAATTTTATCAGGGGCTTGTGTCTTGCCGTATGGTTGAGAATGCTGCACTTTTTACCAATGACAGCAACGATACAAGGTAGAATTTTGAATGCTGATTTTCAGGGCAATAGAATGTTGCCTTTCTGTTGTCATGTTCTAAATGATGGCCTTGTGTCAGACATTTATTATTAGTACATGATAATAAAGCACTGTAGGTGATTATATATCGTAGAGTACACGTCTGTAAAAAGTATCAGTGGACATCTTTTCCCCATCTTTTGTCGTTAATTGGTCGTAAACTTCATGTCAATAAACTGAAAATATCCTTCTTTTTTTTTTTCTTTTTCGTTCCCATTGAATTGAAGATGAAGTACTAATAGAGGCGGGGAATAAATAATTGGATTATTGTTGCCTGAAATATAAATCAGATTCTCATTTCTTTCTCCGAGTCTCATTAATTATGTAAATATAACGAACTGATTCCTATCATGAGGCGATGAACGATATTCTGCGGTTTCCCTTTCGATGTGAAGTCTTAAAGCTCATTCAAAATGACAAAAAATGGCGTCATCAGTATCAGCAGATTCTGAAGGGGGCGAAAATTGAAGGAAATTGACGAAAGCAAATAAGAAAGAAAGAAAGAAAGAAAGAAAGAAAGAAAGAAAGAAAGAAAGAAAGTAAGGAAGAGAGAATGAATAGGAGTGGATAGAAAGGAAGAGAGAAAGAACAAGAAGAGGAAGAATATCTAATAGAATGAAGAAAAGAGCAAAAACGGAAGAAAGGAAGGATAATGCTTAAAAAGAAAGGAGACAAAGAAAGAAAGAAGGAAGCAAAATAAAGAAAGAGAAAAGAAAGAAAAGAAGTAGAGAGAAAGAAAAAAGAGAGAAATAATATAAAGTGAAGATTATAATGCCGAAAAAACGAGCGAAAGTAAGTGAAAAACAAACAATGCATGCATGGAGAGAAAGAAGTAATAGAAGAAAAAGAAAGCAATACTGATTGAAGAAAGAAAGAAAGAAAGAAAGAAAGAAAGAAAGAAAGAAAGAAAGAAAGAAATTCAGAGAAAACAGAAAAAGAGAAAGAACAAGGGGAGGAGAAATATAAAATGAAGTAAACAAGCGAAAAATGAAAAAAAAAAAAAGAAAGAAACGATAAATGCTTAAAAAGTAAAAAGCTAAGGAAAGAAAGAAAGAAAAAAAGAAAGAAATAAAGCAGAAAGAAAAAAGGAAGACAGAAATCCCAATATAGACGGGGGAAACGAAACAGGGAGAGGAAGATTAAGTACATCTTGAATAAGGATGTAACGAAAAGAATAAAAGCAAATTAAAATTTCATTTTGAAATTAGACATATAAAGGAAGAAAGAAAAATAAAAAATGAGGATCATAAAAAAGAAGAAAGAAATTAAAAACGTAGGAATCAAAAATAATTAACGAAGAAAAACGAATTGGAACGAAATAAAGAAGGATAGAAATGTCTTCTCATCGAGTCGCTGCACCACACTCGTCCAGTGTTGCACACATTGCCTTGACTGGGGCGTTAAGGTTACAAGGTCATTAAGTGTGGATGAATCTTCAAGAATGGGGCAAGATGGTACATAGTTTGGAATTGCCCGCGTTTGCAGTTGGTCATCATCATTAGTGGCATATGGCCATTTCTGAAGTTTGGCGATACAGCGACCAACAGGAGGACATTACTAGATTCTCTAGGGTTGAGAGAGACAGGTAAAAACGAGGGTGAAAAAATTGGAAGGAGGGATAAAAAAAAAACAGAAAAAGGAAAGATAAGAGATTTTTTATTGATTGAGCTGTTTTTTACGGCTTATCGCTCTTTCATAGGCTATTTAAATCCAGAAAATATTAGATTTTAAGAACTTTTCGTGGCTAATAATGATTTACTAATGAAAGTCGTACCAATTAAAATTTAACTAGGGGGGAAGAGGTGGATGTATACCTTTCCTAAGGGCACTTGCGTGTAAGTGAATATAACGAACCCAACTGGAACTCGGCTCTCCGATTTCCAATTCTGTACCGTTATCCATTACACCACCCACACATCCAAACTTACAACACCTGATATTCCCAAGTGGTCGCCCACCTTAGTAATGACCAAGATCGAAGTTGCTTAATTTGGCTGATCGTATGAGAAATACAAAGTTCAGCCCAGGTGATATTATTAAGTTAAAGTTAATAAATTCAAACTGTTGTATAGAAGATAATCGCTTTCTGCATCCCCACTGGAGAAAAAATGTCGAAAAAGAGAAAGCAAGAAAAAATGGGGAGAAGATAGAAATCAGTGGCCATTTGCGCCTAAACTATTGGTTTATACAAAAAAATCATTCGAAGCGAATGTAATTTGCTATCGTGAATAAAATAAAGAATGAATCAAATTGAGCCTGAATCAACTGAACGAGAAACAAGCGCTCAAATCCGTCGAAAGGACACGTTTTAAAAGAAATAAAACAAAGAGAACATTATTTGTAACAAAACCGAGCAAGGAAACACAGTTAAGTTTTACCCAATGCAAATGAATAACAATAAATTAATAACCAGTCGGTATTGAAAATTCCACAGATTTTGATAACTAAAATCATCAACCATTATCATTTCTTCTCTCACCTTTTGCCGGCATCTTCTTATTCTTCGCCTTATCCCTTTCGATCTCCGCTTCCCATCAAAGTTTTATATAATTTTTGCTACAAACGTGGATTAGTTTCACCTACAAAGAGGAATAATTCTCAAATATTTCCTGCTGCATTCACACATTAATATTTCTTTTGCACTCTTACGTCAAAAAAGAATTTAATCTATCGCAATGCTGGCACCTTTCCATGCCTTTCAAATTTTCACTGTCTTTTATATAATATGATAAACTTTCCTTTCCTCTGCTGTGCGTCGATAGCTTAGGGTAGGATCTCTGATCTCTGACTAATACGAATCGGATGCCTAACCACACTGATGACCTATGATACAGCGAAACAAGCTTGTATGTAGATAGATATATATATATATATATATATATATATATATATATATATATATATGTAATGAAATGGATGATGTCCGACAATTATTTAACATATTGTCTCTTTATATATTATTTTTAATATGTACAATTAATTTATATTTCACCCTATGTCTGTATCTTCTTATTCTCTCCCTTATCCTTTTCGATCTTCGCTTCCCATCCAAATTTTATAGAATTTTTACTACAAACATGGTTTAGTTTTCTTTACAAAGAGGAATAATTTTCAAATATTATCTACTGCATTTTCGCTTTAATATTTCTTTTGCAGTCTCATGCCAAAAGAGAATTTAACGCAATGTTGGTACCTTTCCATGCCCTTCAACATTTCACTGCCATTTATATCCAGCCAGCAACCCTGTCTGTCAATGACTTTCTTCCGCTTCTATCCCTTCTCTTGTTATTTATATATATATATATATATATATATATATATATATATATATATATATATATATATATATATATATTATATGTGTGTCTGTGTGTGTTGAACATAGAATAGACTGAGAAAGAATGGTGTTTTCTAAGAATTGTGCAAATGAATGGAATTTTTTCATGAAAAATTAGATATTAAATTATGAATCGAAACAAAAATGAGAAAATCAGATTTATTCGTGAAAACAAATCTTAAAATTCTCAGAGATTTTGAAATTCAAATGTGCGATCTAATAGGGGCTAGGAGATAGGAGTCAGAAGATAAAATCTAATTCTTGTCAACGAAAAGGAATATATTGTCAGATAGTGGAAATCACTGTTCCAGAAAACCATACAATAAAATTGAAAAAGAATTGAAAAGTTTAAATATTTCAGACATTACACACACATACATACCGACATAGGGACACACACACACACACACACACACACACACACACACATATATATATATATATATATATATATATACCGCTCGCTCTTCATTAATGATGTATCTAACACATCGCTCTTCATTAATGAATTGAGCACTCTGGCTGCTGGCGTTTATGTACATTCGTATATAATACGTTAAAATGTCCTTTCCTCTTCTGTACACCGAGAGCTTAGGGTTAGAATCTCTCACTAATACCAAATCGGTCGGCATGAAGCAATCGGATGTTTAACCACACTGATGAGCTGTGATACAGCCAAACAGGCTTCTATGTAGATAGATCTCTCTCTCTCTCTCTCTATATATATATATATATATATATATATATATATATATATATATTATGAAATGGATTATATCCGAGAATTATTTAATATAGTATCTGTTGATACATTATTTTTAATAGATACAATTTATTTAAATACTCCGTTTTTAAAATAAACAGTATTAATTAAATTTACCGGCCTTTCTTTGGAGAAATTTCGCCGAAAATATGTGTTTCTCCGACAAGAATCGAACCTGTAACTCCAAAGGGAACTATCATTTGATCTGATAACCATTGAGCCAGGAAGAAGCATCTGGTTAGCGAAGTCCGTATTACTGTTTATAAACAACTAATGTTCGATAATCTTTCCCGAACGATCATGTCTACTCACGAAACGTACATTAACGTTAACATTGACAACATATTATGAAATGGATTAAGTCCGACAGTTAATATATTTTTTTGTTCATACGTTATTTTATTGGGTACAATTTACTTAAATAAATGGTGTGTTTTTTTTTTAAAATAAACACTATTTATTACAACATTTACCAGCCTGAATATATATATATATATATATATATATATATAAATATATATAATATATATATATACTTAAAGGTTCCATGTTCCAATAAATTATTTCACCACAGCCCTTTTCAAAGGACTGCGGATCATAGTCCTTTAAAAGGGCTGTGGTGAAATAATTTATTACATGGAACCTTGAAGTGGTGTTTTTATCTAAATTATTTGCTCTGGATTTACATTGAGCTCTCTGGATTTTATCCTCCTTAGGTTTACCCATACGGATTGCCTAGTTTTTCATAAACTATATATATATATATATATATATATATATATAGATATATATATATATATATAGATATATAGATATAGATATATATATATATACACACACCCATATATATATATATATATATATATATATATCGGGGTATGTGTGTATAATTTTGAAATAAAAAGAGAACATTGTGTAAAGTGTTTACTAAAGTTTTCATAAAAAATAAAACATTGAAAAAAGATAAAAACTTTCCTTAAACATCTTTCAACTCCAGCTGAAAATATAGTCAGACAATTGCAAAAGAAGTTGGCGTTTGCAAGATTTTGAAATGAGATAACTGTTAAATTGCGAAAAAAGTAAATCCTGGAACAGAAGAAAAGAATTTCCTCTTCTGCTCTAACATAAATACGATTCTACGTCAACATAAAAGAAACTGAATAAAAAAAAAGACACAAGGGGAAGGCATTTTGGATTGGAGCATTCTCGTTTTTTTTTAACTTTCAAATTTTGTAAAAATGTTAGCAATATTTTACACATTACCAAAATATTTTTTATCCTGAACGAATCAAGAACGGATTAAAGAGGAAACCCACTGACGAAAAAGATATAGTTATATTAATTAATCATTATTCTTAATTAAATTATCATTATTGTTCAACGTATGACGATAAACTACATCCGGCAGCAAGGCCTCTGATCGGGAGATTGGAGCTTTTGAGGAGCGTGAAAACACCTTTTAATTGCTTTTGTTTCCAGATCCGCCCTGACTAGAGGTGGTAGTACCTTTTAAGTTTCCAGATATGGGAAAATAGTGAAACAAAAAACAAAACACTATGAAAGCATAAAATACATTTTAATAGTAAAATTAACAGCAATAAATTTTTATATTGTAAAATTAGCACCAATATATTTAAAGCAAAATGGCCACCAATACATTTTACCTGTAGTTGAAGGCATACAAATTACGTTTAAAATGTATTTAGTTGACGCTATAAAATTGTGTTCAAAGTATTTAGATTTCAGCATTAAAAAACCCCTAGAGGTTGATATGTCACTAAACAAAATCAAAGAAGCATCATGAAAGAACTCTTTCATGGCATTAATCCCTATAAATATCCGACAACTTTTTAAAAGACATCATATGTTATAGCAGAAGAGGAAATCATATATGGTATCCAAAATATAACTTCAAAACACGCATGTCAACGCCTCTTGCAACCATGTTCACACAAGCATGTATATGTACAAAAGCTGAGTATCAGCTACCATGTATTCAATTGTGAAAAATATATCATATTTTTATTACTTCAAAGCTCTCAGGAAAAT